GATAGATAGATAGATAGATAGATAGATAGATAGATAGATAGATAGATGTGGGTGGATAGATGACAGATGGATAGATAGATTAGATAGATTAGATAGATAGATAGATAGATAGATAGATAGATAGATAGATAGATAGATAGATACCCTGTTTCTCCAACAATATGGCCTCCCCCAATAGGAAATCCCAGCATGTTTTATAGGCATGAAATGAAATTAAGCCCCTCCCCCCAAATTAAGGCCTATATTAAAACATGCGAAATGGGGAATGTTGGGGGGGCTTGCCGTTAGGAAGTACTTTTGTTGCACACCCGGATATGGTGCTGCCTGCGTTGACCCCAATATGAAGTGCCCCACCAACACCGAGGTCAACATCCAAGCCATCGCTGCCCGCCCGCCCGAAGATGCAAGGGGGGGGAATTAAGTCACCCCCGAAAAGATGGCCTAGCCATTTTTTCGGGGCTCAAAAAAAAAATAAGACCCGGCCTTATTATATGAGAAACACGGTAGATAGATAGATAGATAGATAGATGTGGGTGGATGGATGGATGACAGATAGATAGATAGATAGATAGATAGATAGATAGATAGATAGATAGATAGATAGATAGATAGATGACAGATGGATAGATAGATTAGATAGATTAGATAGATAGATAGATATGGATAGATAGATAGATAGATAGATAGATAGATAGATAGAGGCAGGGTGAAAGTTGGACTGTGTGACTTGAGTTATCTCCGGGAGAAATTTGTGGCCCAGGACTCCCAGAATCCTATTTTCTGTAGGTTTATACTCCCTCTGGGGTTTGGGAAGCGCCATCCAGGCACCAAAGACTCCTGAGAGGCGTTCAAAGAGAAACACAAAACGAAATATGAACGTCAGAAAGAGAACGTGGATCTGTCTACCTGATGAGGGCCCAGCTAGCCCGTGGGCAGGTAATCATTTCCAGTAGGGTGTCATCGCTGATCTTAGGGGTGGTGCTAAGAGGCCGGGGCTCCAGGACGTGCTCCACCAAAGTCCCATAGCAGCTGATGATGTACAGCGACTCGACGACGAATTGCTTGGATTGATCTGCAGGGGAACGAGAAGACGGAAGGGTTACGGCTAGTCTTACAACCATTCCTTCAAAGGCACAACGGCATTGAAAAAAAAAGGGATATTTGAGGATTTTTCACACTTACGACTGTTGTGGCTTCCCCATGGTCACGGGATCAAAATTCAGATGCTTGGCAACTGGCTCGTATTTATGATGGCTGCAGTGTCCTGGGGTCAAGTGATCTCCTTTTGCGACCTTCTCACAAGCAGAGTCCACGGGGAAGCCAGATTTACTTCACAAAGGTGTGACTAACTCTGTGATGGCGAACCTTTTTGTTGTGGTGTGCCGAAAGCGTGTGTGTGTGTGTGTGTGTGTGCCGGCACCCACAATGAAATGCGCCCCCCCTCATATGCGCACGCACTACCCCGGCCCCACCCGTTTACCTGCATGTGTATGCCTCCCAGCTGATTTTTGGCCCGTTTGAGGGTGTTTTCACCCACCTGGAGGCTTGAGGGAAGCCTCTGCAGCCTCAGGAGGCCAAAAAACGGGCCCTCCGGAAATACTGGAAGTGCCCCTTTTCAGCCTCCGGAGAGGCCTCTGGAGCCTGGGGAGGCCATTTTCGCCCACCTGGGGGCTCAAGAGAAGCCTCTGCAGCCTCGGGAGGCTAAAAACGGGCCCGTTTTGGCACTTCCGGTATTTCCGGAAGGCCCATTTTTCGGCCTCCTGAGGCTGCAGAGGCTTCCCTTGAGCCTCTAGGAGGGCGAAAACGGCCTCAAACGGGCCGAAAATCAGCTGTGAGGTGCGCGCATGCGCAGTGCAGGTAAGTTTGGCTAGGGCTCACATGCCCACACAAATGGCTCTGCGTGCCACCTGTGGCATGCGTGCCACAGGTTCGCCATCATGGGACTAACTCAAAACTGCAGTGATTCACAAGAAGTGTGGCAAGAGAGGTTGTAAAATGGGGCAAAACTCACTTCAGAACAGTCTGGCTTAGCAGTAGAAAATTTGGGCTCAATTGTGGTCATTAGTCAAGGACTTCTTGTATAGGCCGTCCTCGACTTACAACAGTTCATTCAGTGATTGTTCAAATTTACAACAGCACTGAAAAAAGCGACTGGTGACCATTTGTCTGTTACAATCTTTCTAGCATCCCTATGACCATGTGAAAATTCATATGCTTGGCAACTGATTCACACTTATGATGGTCGCAGTGTCCCGGGGTTAGGTGACCCTCTTTTGTGGCCTTCTGACAAGCCAAGTCTATGGGGAAGCCAGATTCAGTTAACGACCGTGTTACTGACTTAACAATTTCTGGGATTCACTTAACAACCGTGGCAGGAAAGGTGGTAGAATGGGGCAAAACTCGCTTAAGAAATGTCCCACTTAGCGACCTAACTTTTGGGTTCAATTGTCATAAGTCGACGACTACCTGTTGTCAGCTATGAAATCATAATTCATCGCTGCCACATAGCTTAGGAAATGGGAGGGGGTGATATTAATTGAGTAGCTCTCAGTAGACAAAATAAATTATTTTGTTTAATTCGAGGTAGAAAGAATTGAAACTGAAATTGGGATTGGTTCCTATGATGTGATGATGAGAAAAAGGGGATGGTTTGGAGGTGGGAAGTCCCGAGGAAACTTTTAGTTTCAGAATTCCACAGATGTGCCAGGTTTTGTTCTAATAAAAGTACTTTGAGATTATGGTTGTCTTGGAGTTACTGACAGGAATGGATTTTCCCTGGAATGCTGACACCTGTCCTTGACTTATAATGTTAATGAACTATATATGCAGGTAGTCCTCAACTTGCAACCATTTGTTTAGTGACTGTCCAAAGTTACAAACAGCACTCAAAAAAAGAGACTTATGACCATTTTCTCACTTATGACCATTGCAGCATCCTCGTGTTACATGGTCAAAATTCAGATGCTTGGCAAAGGTTTCATAGTTACGATGGTTAAAGCATCCTAGCATCAGGCGATCCCCGTTTTGCAACCTTCTGACGAGCAAAGTCAATGGGGAAGGCAAGGAAGGTCGTAAAATGGGGCAGAACTGACTTAACTGACATCCAGCTTAGCAGCAGACATTTGGGGCACAATTGTGGTCGTATGTTGAGGACTCTCTGCACTTCGGGCTTTTAAAAGTCAGCAGTTTCACTCCGCACCCTGTGCCAATTGATCCCTTTCTGCCTGCCCAGAGCTTCCCATCACTCGGCGTACAGCGGACGCCTCGCACGTCAATTTTATTTATTTACATAAATACAAACTCTATCGGCACGATGACGAATACCACCGCTCTTCTCAGGAAGGTGAATCGCTGAGAAATGATGCTCTATTTTTGGAATTTCCCAGAAAAAAAAAATGCAATCGAGAATACATTAACCTTGGATTCTTTTGCAATGCTTCTGCGTTATACCCTTGAATTTCTCGTGCCTTGGTTTTGCTGGCCTCTAGCCAGGCATCGCTTCAGGTTTGATGATTTTACAGATAATCAGAGTTGGAAGGGACCTTGTAGGTCATCTAGTCCAACCCCCCGCCCAAACGGGAGACCCTACACCATTTCTGACAAATGGCAGTCCAATCTCTTCTTAAAGGTATTAAGTGATGGCGCTCCCACAACTTCCGAGGGCAACTTCTGTTCCATTGGTTGATTGTTCTCACTGTCAGAAAGTTTCTCCTTATTTCCAGGTTAAATCTCTCCTTGCTTCAGGCTCAAATTCAAATTGGGAGCGAGTCTTTTCTTTCTTTCTTTCTTTCTTTCTTTCTTTCTTTCTTTCTTTCTTT